TTTGTGAGAAAGAACTTGCTTTGGCATAAAATATGAACATTAATGGAAGCTCTCCATTGTCTCAGGTGAGACCCCTTCTTAAATAAATATTTTTTGATTATTTACTGAGAGAGGAAAGGGGAACAGAAGAACAGCTTCTACTTTGTACAACATATAATTTCAGACACATCTAAGTCAGTCAGTCAACTGATGGACCATTAAATCTTCTTTCAGGACCAAAGATTCAGTACTGCCCCCTTTATTGCTTCATGTCCAAGTTTAAATGTGGGAGGAAATATGTTAATTGTATATCTTTACTTCTCTTTGGAGGAACAAAGCATAAAATATTCCTAAATTTCATTTCATAAAATCAAAGAACAGAAGGGAATCACACGCTTTTCTAGAACGTTCCTGTACTTACTCTATTTCATAATAGTATATTTCATATTCTTTGCCCTGGAAAATTTAATTTTATCGCATGTAGAGAAATATACAAAGTATTCATGTTTTCTCTGTTTGGAAAGTTCATTGAACCTCCCATGTCTCCTTGCAAATTCCCATATAATGCCAAGGTTTATATGTGTAGCAATTTTAATCTTCCTTCGCTTATTTGACTGCATTGTATGTCAGTCATGATAGCTTTTCACTTTGATTTCCTTACTCGTGATGTCTAATTTTTTAAAAGAATGAACTCGCAATCATTAAAAAAAGTATTTTTCATACCTGTATTGCTCACTATAAATTCATTTCTTCTCTTTGCACCTTATTTTACAACACATTTGAATAAACAGCATACAGTCAAGGCAGCATATTTATTTGGTTGAAATAAATTGGGGATGCTGATTTCTGTAGCCAGCATAACTCTCAGCTTAATTCACACATTTTTGTTAACAGCATAACCTATTACATCATGCAAGAGTCATAGCGAGCATTCAAGCAGAAAAAAAGAATCAACAAACCCTCACCGTTGGACACATCCAGAGCAATTTTATTCTCACAATTTTCAAGATGGAAATCAAATTCTTCTTTGGGAATTCTATGGCGAGCATTATAGGGGCATGTTGCTAGTTTTTTAGCGATCTTCTCATTGTTCTAGGCAAAAAACAAAACCCAAGAGAGGATTATAATGTAGAAATTAGGGCTGTTTCCAAAATTCTGTCATTATACTACAGGAAATACGTTTTTGAAATATAAAAGATACAGCAGAAAAGGAATTGTCAATCCATTTTTTTTTAACCCAGAGGAGCCCTCACAGTGCCACTAATATCTCAGGAGTGGAAAATTAAGGGATTTAGCAATCTTTTGACACTTAACACAATTTCCTAAGGCGCAATGAAATGTGGAACATGAAAATAGATCTTGGCAACAGTAAATTTCAAGATAAAAAAAAAACTCCATACTTTAGGAAAAGGGTTTAAATTCAATCGAACAATTGACCATTCCAAGGAAACTGTATGGGCTCGCTATGGCAAGATTGCAAAACGCCACCAGTATAAGTTTTACATATTACTTTTTAATCCACAATTTTACTGAATAAAGCCGAGGTGGCACAGTGGTTAAATGCAGCACTGCAGGCTACTTCAGCTGACTGCAGTTCTGCAGTTCG